GGAGTTGAAGTCCACTCATCTTAAAGTGGCCAAGTTTGGACAACACTGGCCTAAGGGGATCTGCCAAGCTTTCTTTGGGGAACGAGGGAGTCACATCCTGCATCTGCAGCAAATTAAAAGAATGGAGCTTCTCAGAAAGCAGTTGAAACGGCACTGGTCTGCAAAAAATGTTGGGAGTGTGGGGGGAGGCAGATGAACAGGTCCAGCATTCCCTGAGGTTTGCCCCCTTTCTCATGACCTCCAGGTGATCAAGAGGCGGAACGTCCGCAACGAAGACAACGGCAAGAAGCCGGAGCGGCGGCGCCTGAAGACCACGCGGCTGAAGGAATACACCATCAAGTCGCACTCCAGCATGCCACCCAACAACACCTACATCAACTTTGAGCGCTTCTCCAAGGTCATGGAGGAGGTGGCGGTGGCCGAGGAGAGCCTGCGCGAGCTGCAGCAGAGTAAGAGGTCCTTTCGGGAGGACATCGAGGCCCTGCGGTCCATCTACGAGGAGAAGGAGTTGTGGTACAAAGAAGAGAACGAGGCCATCAGCCAGGATCTCCGCCAAATCCAGCAGGAGATGCAGAAGACGGAGGCTCTGAAGCGGCAGGCTCAGGAAGAGGCGAAGAGTACCTCACTGGCAGCCAACAGGCTAAAACGGCATCTCCGGAAGCTGGAGAACCGCTACGAGGCCCTCGCCAAGCAGATGGCCTCAGAGATGAAGTTTGTCCAAGAGCTAGTCCGTTCGGTGGAGTTGGAGAAGCTGCAGGGTGGAGAAGAAGACTGTGGAATTCGCTAATGAGGTCCCTTCTGGGGAGATGGGAGACGGTCATATCCTCCTCAGGGTCAGGTCTCCCCACCCTGTGTCCACAACCCACACTTCCCAGGGGCAGAAAACCCACTGGCCTGTTCTCCCCACTGAATTGTTTGGCCTGCTTCCAGAATCGCACATTCCATCATGCAACGCTTCTGCCTGGACCCCGCGTGGAGGACGCGTTCGTGCATGTTGGGAACTTTTCGTATTTCTCCACTTGAAGATGGGATGGGACGCTTATGAAATGCGTACCCCGGCAGGGCTTGGCAGAGGGTCTGTCGGCCACCATGGACGCCTCCTTTTCCCGCCAGCTGACGCTTTGCATTTCTTGAGAATCCCAAACTTGAGGCGATTCGGAAACCGCCCTCCCCAAAAGAGATTTCCTGCTGCAGTGGGTGAGGTGGAAGATCTATCCCCGTGGATTTTGATTTTGTGCAAATGGGATCCACAACCCAAAGGCTGTGACTCTCCTCTCAGCTCAGCTACTCTAGGACTGCCCATTCTTTGTCAAGAACGGGCCAGGGTTCCTGGCATCTAGGGGGCATTCTGGGTGGGTGGCATTCCAGAACAATCTCAGTTCACCAATTTTGCATGGCTTTTGGGGAGGGGGTGGCTCTCTTGAATTGCAGCCCCCCAGAGGGAAAGCCACAGGGGTGAGGAATGCCAGACTTACCCCATGAAGCTGGGCTGGGCGTGCAGGGGCAGAACCGCCAAGAACCTTTTGAGCAAATCCAGACGGATTTTATCTTTCACCAAGGGGGGTGCATTTTGGACTGCCGATCGCAGGAGATGGTTTCCTTATTTTTATGTATTTTAATCTCTGTCAGGGAATAGGCGGCTTTTCTGTGACCCGTGAGTAAACGTTTTGTAAAAAAGAAAAAAACCCCAACCCATCTCACGATGCTTCCTTGAATGAACCCGGCTTCATCCCCGTCGCTGTCCGGTTGGGGCTGAATCTAACACAAGGTTTCCTGACTGCTGGCCTCGCTGGGAAGGGCGGTTGAGAGGATCCCGGGGGGAGATCTCTTCCCCACCCAGGTTTTAAGGGCGTGCTTGTCATTTTGATGGTTTCTTCCCTTCCTTTTAACGATCCTGCTCGGATTTGCTCCGGATCTGAAATTGAGTGGGGTGTTGAGAAATCCTCACCGTCTCTTTGAACAAGGGAAAGTCCTTGCACAGGATAGTAGATCGCTCCCTTGAGCAGTAAATAAGTACGTCCATCGGATTTCTTTTCTGGAACTTTGCTTATCCTTTGAAAGCCAACATCTGTCAGCCAGGCTGGAGTTTCTTCTAATGGCACATCTCATCCGGGAGACCCATCCTTCCTCTCTTCTCTGCAAATTTATTCTCTCTTTTTCAGTGTTGACTGAGCACCTGTTTCATGTCCTCTTTTAAGCAGCTAAGAATTTCCCACAAGGCATGCCCCTGAATTGTTGAGGTGGGTTGCAATTGGGGTGCTCCAATAAACGTAATATAAAGACTCCTTCCAGTTCAGCTAAACTTCTGGTGGTTGCTGGAAACGGTCCGCGTTCTTTTCTTGGCCACAATACAGCAGAGAGCTTTTTCTTCCGTTCGCTTCCACCTCCGGGTACATTTCCTGGTGGTCTCCCATCCAAGCGTTAATCAAATCTGACCCCGCTTCGTTTTTACATCAGCTAAACCTAGCTTGGGGCTGCCACCAGTTGTGGCTGTGAATGTATCATGGGAAACGCCTCACCCTTTTCACATGTGTTTTAAAAAACAGATGCACACTCTTCTCTTGAGTACTGAACAGCGGCATCACAGTGATGTTGTAGCAATAAAAAATGTTTAAAGTAATTTAAGACGGATTGCCCGTTTTGGATGACTTTTGAAGGCTAAGAAACAGTAGAGCCGTCAATCTGAAATCCAAAATCTGAATCAGTGTTTCTCAACCTTGGCAGCTTTAAGATGTGTGGACTTCAACTCCCAGGATTCCCCAGCCACCCATGCTGGCTGGGGAATTCTGGGAGTTGAAGTCCACACATCTTAAAGCTGCCAAGGTTGAGAAACACTGATGTGAATGAAGCCAGCAGCTCTATACTGTAGACCAGTGTTGTCCAAACTTGGGCACTTTAAGATGAGTGGACTTCAACTCCCAGGATTCCCCAGCCACCCATGCTGGCTGGGGAATTCTGGGAGTTGAAGTCCACACATCTTAAAGCTGCCAAGGTTGAGAAACACTGATGTGAATGAAGCCAGCAGCTCTATACTGTAGACCAGTGTTGTCCAAACTTGGGCACTTTAAGATGAGTGGACTTCAACTCCCATGGCTGGCTGGGGAATTCTGGGAGTTGAAGTCCACCCATCTTCAAGCTGCCAAGGTTGAGAAACACTGATGTGAATGAAGCCAGCAGCTCTATACTGTAGACCAGTGTTGTTCCAAATTTTTGGCTTTTTTTATATGGGGATGTTTAGACTACTCCTTTCTGGCTGGGGCAGTTGGTTTTTGGGGCGAGTTTCTACAAG